CGGCCTTCAATCTCTACAGCAAAGTGATTCTGGTCAAAAATCAGCAAAGCTTAGGTAAAGTTAATACTAGAAAACTATACTTGTCGGTTTAGAACATATTTATACTATATAGAAAACTTCATTATTAAACCTGACTACACTTATAAACCAAACACCCGGAATCATTTGACGGATGATCTTGTTTTGTGTTTTATCTATAGCTGTTTCTTTCTTTGGTAATCTTGTTTTTCAGATTTATCAGTCTATCTGATTTTTTGGCTTTATCACATCTCGCCAAATATAAACCATTAACAATGTATCCATATCTGTTAGTTTTCGAATACATTTAGCATATATTCAACTAAATATAGATTTATATAATGAATATGTCAGAACATAAACTTTATCATGTAATTCTGCTTTTTGTATGTTAAACCGTAATATTAATATAATTTATTTTAGTTATCTATGTCCGTAAAATTTTCAATTTTTTTTGTTGATATGGTTTATGTTTGTTAATAGAAACAGGAAACGTTTTGTCTGGAAGTAATACGTATATAACAGACGGTAAATATGGAAGTTTTGGTGGAAATTTTTACCCTCTACAAGATATTCAAGTTTTTCCTCTTGTGGTGAGTAAAAAAAATCTACAAAGACAATAAATACAGAAATCTTTGTTTGTTTTTTTGGACTCAAAGCAGCATGAGAGGTGGATAGTTCCAAAATGTGCTACTAGATGGCAAATTCTAAGTTCTGTAACTAGTGATCGGGTTGTTTTATAGCGTGCTACCATGGAACAGATAGTTCTAAATTTTGTCTCTAGGGGGTGAACGAGGGAACTATTTATGCCGAGTGTCATCAATAGTAGTGTCGCCAGTTGTGTCATGTATATGTTTTGTTGTGTGGTTCACAAACGAACCACCAGAAGGGGTTGTTGATCCTGTCTCAACCTGAATGTTAAATTGTGTCTTGTTATACACAGCAAAATAAAATAACTATATCGTTCTCTGTAGTTCTTATAACGATATTAGTTCCTGAATTATCGTTATGGTTACTTTGCTATTTTATAGTTTCATATCAGTATACTTTTATTTAATAATAGGCAGAAGGTTAATATGTATAAAACTATTATTTTACGTATTACAGTTAGATTATTTGTATAGTATACTTCATTATTTATTTATACATATATTAATTTCATTTACGTAATCCTGGAAAGGACTGTTTTCTATAGTTTTATATATAAAATGTTCAAACTGCAAGTGGTTTCATCTGAATCATTAAAACTGAATGTAATACAGCATGTCTAAACATAAAATATGCAGAACCCGCGAACCGCAGAATGCGAGTCGAGCGCCTCACCAGAGAGAGAGTGTAGAGATTTCAAGAATACCATATTGGTGTGTTTTGTGTCACATTTCACAGCTAAATATATAAACTTAGAATAAACATTACTACTACAAGAAAAAATAATATTTTCCTGTACCACACTTACTTCACCTTCCATATCTCAAGCTAATAATTTACACACCAATTATCTTTCGACTTGCGACATCGCTAAGAATCACGTTAACGTATCTTTGTTCATAAGGGCATGCAACAGCGACACCACAACCTATAATACTGATATAGACTGAATATCCTTTAACGTCGAAATAAGAAAAAACAAACTCTCACCTCGATATAACCTAGGTAAAAATAATTAAATAGAAGGTAAAGTGAATGCAGAGATACACTGTTCAATGTAAAAGCAAACACCTAACAGTATAATAAAAAATATAACATGGTTTCACGTCGATAACCTACCACGAAAACCTTTTAACATAGATAGACTTTTTACATTATTGTAACATACACTGTATCATAGAAAACTGCATAGCTCAAAATACAAATCTTTAACAATGAAAATTACTCTGAATCACAACATTACCAAATCACGCCATTTAATAACTTACAATCTCATGACACTATAGTGATAATTTTAAGAAATGTTTTAACAATGATACATCTTGAATAAAACAATAATTTTAAACTGGGAAAATTACTTTTCAAACCTTCTTTCACAAATTTGCAAACAATGTATCTAATGGCGCTTTCACATAAAATAAAATAGCAGATGAAACCTTTTATACAAATAGAACACATTTAAATTCACCATACAGGACAAACCCTTACAAAGTATATGCATATATGTAAATATATATATATATAATTGTATCCAGAATTTCAATATATGTAAAAATAAATAATACCCTTTAAATGCCCCCCCAGTGGCACAGCGGTTTGTCTGCGGATTTACAACGCTAGAAACTGGGTTTCGATACCCGTGGTGGGCATAGCACAGATAGCCCTTTGTGTAGCTTTGTGCTTAACTTCAAACAAACAAAACAAAACCCTTTAAATACTTACAACAGCAAAATAACTTTTCATAATCACGGTGATTATAAACTTTTAAGGGCAAAATAAAACATCTTCACAATAAAACAACTCCAAAAAGATGCCCTTCAATATCGACAAGTGGTATTGTTGAAAAATGGTAATAATAGGAAACAAAGAACCGTTAAACACTAATAAAATATGAATGGTACCATAAATGTCCGACAGAAAATTTAAAACACCCTTTACCATAATCTAATGAAGGATACATGAAAATTTAACGAGGCATATCCAATGAAGGCCTTCTACCATTAATTACATCTTGCATGGTCAAACGATCGTAAAGTAACAACAAAGGAAAAGAAAGAACTCAGTACATGACACTCACACGATGGTATCCTGTGGTACATAGTGCCATGGAAGGAAAAGAAAGAACTCAGTAGATGACACTCACACGATGGTATCCTGGGGTACATAGTGCCATGGAAGGAAAAGAAAGAACTCAGTAGATGACACTCACACGATGGTATCCTGTGGTACATAGTGCCATGGCCGAGATATAACTTTCCATTGCACGATCCATGGAAATTACAACACATAAAAGAATGAAGTAAAAAAACCAATGGATAATTTAAAATGTGAAGTTAGTGTATTATAATCTGATAAAACGTCAGGCAGGTGTGTTGGTTGATAAGCTGATGGTTACGACCATTACTTGCCCCTAAAACTACCTGTAGAGGCTGAGTAGCTCATGAGACCCTTGGTCAAGCAACACTTCCAAGAGTTTTACATATGCATCATGTGAAACACACCCATGTAAAACGTATTCTCATCTGAGCAATACTCATCCAACTGTGTCGCCACTATAGCTATTCTCATTAGCAAAGGGTGGCGCGTTTTAGTAAATATCGTTCCTAAACACATGCACTAAATGAGATCATGTAACACCAATTTTCTCCATTGACTGTGAGAAGACAACAAAGTTTTCATTGTCTTTTCTTATGGACATTTTTTCAGTTACATGTTCTATACTTGTAATAGGATGATTTTTCAAAGCTTCGTCCCAGGTATGTTACTTTTTGTGTTTCCACTTAGTACTCACACAAGCTGTGTTGGTTATGATTTTAAAGCTACTACTAGTAATTTCAAGAGAAAAAACATATTTTTTTTCAGACATAGTGTTGCATCTCTTGAGAAAACAGAGGTAAACCCATGGTATCTTTCCAAAATGGCGTGAGTACCCCCATCTTTGAACTCTCACTCCTGCAGAAAATTCCAATGTAAATATCGATATATTCTATTTTGAGTGTTAAAGAAATACTAGAAATTTCCTAATATCACCATATCTATTTGTACCAGCCCTGTGTTAATCGAGTGCTAGTTGTGAAAATATAGTCCAAAATTTTGTCAAACTTTACTACCCTAGTTTGGATAGAGAAGTCGTTCTACAATGTAGCGCCTACACAGGCTTCCAAAATAATATAAAAATTCAGATTTTTTGTGTGTGTGTTACACAAAATAAGTAATTAGGTTTGGATATTATGACACTAGTGTCCAAACTAGTGTCCAAACATACTCTAAAATTTTATATATATTAAAATACAACCGGGTTTACCATCTCCCAAATAAACTATCAACGAACGTGCAACATTTTGAAAAGAAACTTTAAATCTGTAAACACCCAAAACGTTTGAGACGGATATAAATAAAAAAAAAACTTGAATCTACTTCTCCAGTGTTCCTATAAAACACTCTGAACTTTAAACTATTAATGATATCACAAGACGTTATACACCTAAACTTTATATCATTAGTGTCAATACATGTATGAGTAAAAGTAGTAGCACTTATGACTGTGGGTAATTTTTAAACAGTTTAACTATTTTACATCCAAAAGATTCCATTGTAAAATCACACAATATAAATATCTAAGGTTTCAATGTCTTATGAATAAACTTAGGTGGAAAACTGTTCTGTACTAATATTGTAGATTAAACTAATCTCTGTATAAGTACACGAGTAAATGAAGCAGTACGGTACAGAAATAATCAAAGTATGAAATATAAGTTTTACGTATTAAAACACGTTATTTATATATTAATAAGTAAATAGATACTATGAAACTATAAAGTAGAAAGTTCACCGAAAAATGTTGCTGAAAAACATATCGTGTTAAGAAGACGATAAAACGGTTCCATTTTTGTTTTTGTTTATGTTTATGTTCAGTAACATGGCATTCGTTTTCAAGTAAGATCAACCACAACCTTTGTTGATTCGCTGTCGATCCATTTAACACAATATACGCCTGCATAATGGCGGCACCAATCCCTATAAAAGATCTCAGCACCCACTTCTAGTAGCAGCAAATTTTGGAAATATCCATCCTCATGTTGCACGTTTTGCCCCTGGTGGCATTCTGTGGAACACAGAGGAACAGTGATTTGAGAAATGTTAATCATCAGGCATGGCCAGGTGGTTAGGGTGCTTTACTCGCAATCTGAGGGTCGCGGGTTCGAATTCCCGTCCTACCAGACATGCTCGCCCTTTCAGGCGTGGGTACGCTATTATGTGACGGTCAATCCCACTATTCTTTAGTAAAAGAGTAACCCAAGAATTGGCGGTGGGCGGCTAGCGGAGATAGGTCTCGTGTAGC